GTGCAGGGAAAGGGCTGGGCTCCCGCCCGGGGCGGGGAGTGGGCGCTGGAGGCGTCGGACCTGGGCAGAGGCCGGGGGAGCAGTGGGTCCCTTTAGGGGCGCTGTTTGGGGGCGCCTGTGGGAAACGGGAAAGAGGAGGACTGTTGGTTGTAGAAATCCTTTCAACCCCACGGTGTGAAGGTGAGGAAATGGAGGGCGGGCCGTGTGCTCGGAGCAGCGTTACCCCGAAAGCTGTGCTCGCACGAGCGCCAGCGCCCCGTCGCCGGATAACACAGCATTTGCTCTTCTCTCGCAGGTAAGGAGGGCGAGTGCCGGATCTGTAAAGCTCCCTGCCAGACAGTCTTCCTCTCAAAACACGTAAGTGGAAATCTGTGGTCCGTGCTCTGAATATTGATCACCGTGTTCCCTTTACAGGTGAGGTTCAATCTGTGGTCGTTTGTGGGGTCTGAGCTTTCCGTTCATGTTGTCAGGTGACCGGGAAGGTCTCCCGGAATCTCGAAGGACAACTAGGATCCGGCCGGGACCCTCCTTGCAGCTTCTCGGTTGCAGGGGGGCCTGTCTGTGGTTTGCCGTGCGATGCTCCTGGGAATGAAAATGTGTGGAATAGATTCCTTCAGTGCAATGCAAGCTCCTAACGGCGACGGAGCCTGGCCGCTGTGCTCAGTGCTTAGAGCAGTGGTTCTCAACCTTGGCTGCACATTAGAGTCACCTGGGACTCTTTTTGAAATCCTGATTTCTGGGCCTCATCCTCCGGAAATTCTGTTTCTTTGTTACTCATGTTGTGGCCCCACCCCATAACAAAGAAACAGAACTTCCGGAGGACGAGGCCCAGAAATCAGGATTTCAAAAAGATTCCCAGGTGATTCTAATGTGCAGCCAAGGTTGAGAACCACTGGCTTAGAGTGTCAGCCCACGCACCAGAGGGTTATGGGTTCAAGTCCCAGTCAATGGCACATATCTGGATTGCAGGTTCAATTCCTGGCCCCGGTCGGGACATGTGCTGGAGGCAACCAGTCGATCTCTCTCACATCAAGGTGTCTCTCCCCCCCCCCCCCCCCCCCCCCCCCCCCCTCTCTAAAAATCAATAGAAAAAGTACCTCGGGTGAGGAGTAACAACAACAAAAAGAAGGTGGTAAAGTTTGGGTTTTCACAGCTGTCATATCTAATTAAGAGGATTGGAGGAAAGCAGGTATTAAATTGCTGTTGCAGTAGGCTTAAAATAATGCCTTTTGTTCTCTTTGTAAAATACATGAATTTAACTTGTTTGCTTTAAATTTAGTTACAAATAATTGTCCTCTTTACACCTAGGCTCCAAGATGTGTATTTGATCTGATGTTTTAATCTATAACAATTGCTTTTTTTCTGATTACAAATGTAAAACAAAGTTACATATTATGCAAATGATACAAAAGATCATAGTGGAGGAGGTGGAAGCCCCCAGATACTGTTGCCCAAAGACAGCAGCCAGGAGTGGAGCGCCCGGTCTGTGGGTGCTACTTGGATTTATTCTTACAGAAATGGTGTTTTCTCAAGTGACATATTTTGGGCACTCCCACACTCTTTAAAGGTGACTGCGTAGCCTTTTAAATGTTTTTATTGATTTTCTTTCTTTTTTTTTAGAGAGAGAGAGAGAGGAAGGGAGAGAGATAGAGAGAAACATAAATGGGAGAGAAACATCGATAGGCTGCCTCCTACACGCCCCCTTCTGGGGACTGAGCCCGAAACCCAGGCATGTGCCCTGACGGGGAATCGAGGACTCGAACTAGTGACCTCCTGGTTCTTGTGTTAATGCTCAACCACTGAGCACACCAGTCAAACAGGATGGATTCTTGTCTATGAACTTACACCTCTGGCCTTGCCAAGTTCACCTGGTAACTGTATTGGCTCAGCTGTGGGTTTTCCAGGCTCCACAGTCGCGCCGTCTCTGTTTGTTTCTTGCCTTCTGTGTTTCTCTCCCCTGCCTCGGCCTGCTCTCCGTACCGTGTGGAGTACGGACGGCAGGGGCCATCTCTCATGGGGGTTTGTCTCCCCTGATTTCAGGGACGTGGCAGTGTTTCCGTGAAGTACTATGTGCGGTGTGGGTTTTTTGCTACGGCTTTTTATCATGAACGGTGTTGAACTTTACCCAATGGCTTTTCTGTCACTGTTGAGCTTATCATTGTTTTTTCTACTTTATTTTGTCAATGCGGTGAGTTGCATTTATTTTTAGAGCTTTAAACCCACACTAGCTCCCAGGAACAGATCCGACCTGGTGCGAGGCAGCCTAGTGCGTGTGTCTAGATGAGCTAGACGCCGTGCACCTGTGTCCACGTGGGAGCTGCGTGTGGTCCTCTCTCTCCCGGGCCCTTCTCAGGCCTCGGTGCATCGGGGGGAGGGGGGGCGTGAAAGCAGCTGGGGCCTCCCATCCTCTCCTCTCGTAAAATGTGGTGGGATTCACAGGTGAAGTTGTCTGAACCTGGAAGGGATTTGGTGAGGAGGTTTCAACCAGGGACTTAGTTTCTGTGTTAGACACTCAGTGCCTGCCTCCGTCAGGTCAACCTAAGGGAGCTGTATTCACAGGAGGGGGTGCCCTTTCCTCGAGGTTGGGTGTCCTGTCACCAACACGTGTGCAGTCCTCGGTGCTCTCAGCGTCCGGAAGGCCTGTGGTGATGCGCATCCTTCACTTTAATGGTGGTTACTGTGCCTTCTCTCCTTTTCTTGAACAGTCTTGTCAGTGTTTATTGACCTTTATTCGTATTTTCAAAGAACTAATTCTTGGTTGTGTTTCTTTATTGTACACCTGTTCTCTGGTGAGTTCTCCTCTTTCCTCTTTGCTCTTTAAGATGGAAGCTCAGGTCAGCTCCCCACCTTGTCTTCCTCCTGTTTACATCCCAGGCCGCACCCCGCTCTGTGCTCATCCTTGCCTGAGCAGAACAATTCAAGTCTCTTCTCAATTATTCCTGCGACCCATGTGTATGTGGTTAATTTAGAAATATTTGGGGATTTTAGTTATCATTTCTACTAACTTTCATTGACGTATAATGCCGAAAGTGCACAAATTAAAAGTGTGTAGCTCAGCGAATTCTGCTCGATCTGAGAGTGACTCGCACTGGTCGGGGACACCCTGTGCGGTTGTCCTTAAAGTCGGACAGGCTCCCATCCTCCCTGGGCAGGGCCTGGACGCTTTGACTCCGCTTCCGCGTGCACCTTATTCTCTCCCAGAGACGTAAGCCCACAGACATCGCTGCCCAGATCGCCACCACCGCCCAGGTTCCCACAGTCCCACTTCCTCCCGCTCACCGTTCCCAGCCTCCCTGACGCCCCGAGGGTCACTTTCCACCCCCGGGAATTCCTTTGTCGGGTCCTGCATTGAGGCCTGTGGTGACAGCTCTGCAGAGGGACTGAGCCGCCTGCATTGTGATGCATATTGCGCTCGTTAGGCTGCTTTCCTGGACATGAATGCTTCCTGTGTCTTGGATCACATGGCTCCGTTCGCTGTGGCTTTTCACGGTCTGGCTGTCCTGTGGTATCCGGCTGGGCTTCAGGGAGACCCCAAAGCCTGTGCAGGGGCTGTTATCAGAGTGGAGGCCTCAGCCTCTGCTCCCTACATCCGGTCCCACTAAGGCTCCTGTCCACACAGGGAAGCCACACCTGCCTGTCCACGCAGGTCCCTGTCCACGTAGAGTAAAGCCACAGCTGCCTGTCCACGCGGGTCCCTGTCCACGTAGTGTGAAGCCACACCTGCCTGTCCATGCGGGTCCCTGTCCACGTAAAGTGAAGCCACACCTGCCTGTCCACATGGGTCCCTGTCCATATAGAGTGAAGCCACACCTGCCTGCCCATGCGGGTCCCTGTCCACATAGAGTGAAGCCACACCTGCCTGTCCACACGGGTCCTGTCCACGTAGAGTAAAGCCACACCTGCCTGTCCACGCAGGTCCTGTCCACGTAGAGTGAAGCCACACCTGCCTGTCCAAGCGGGTTCTGTCCACAGATGTTTTCCCTGTGTAATAACCTGTGTGTCACTTGCTCTCCACTCCTGAGCACAGGCCGCCACGCTCTGTTGGGCGCTCCCCATTTCCTGTGGCTATGGGTGCCCGGGCTGTGGGTGCCAGGCTGTGGGAAGGCATGCTTCTGCTTCTGTGGCCCGGGACCAGGCCCTGAGGTGTGGGGTGAGGCCAGGGTGGCAGGTTGAGTTGGTGCCGAGCAGGGCTTGTGGGCACCTGGAGCCCCTGCCCCGCCTGTGGCCCACCTGCCTGTGACTTGCAGGGGTCGAGTCCAGGGACCCAGCTGTCCAGACACCCTGTGTGGCCTCCCCCTCCAAGGTCTGGGGCGGCTCGGGCCAGGCACTGCCTTCCAAGGACATCTTCTAGCTTCTGCCGCCCATCAGGTGTCGCCCTGCACTTAGTGTTGTTTTTTTTTGTTTTTAATTAAATCTTTATTGTTCAGATTATTACATTTGTTCCTCTTTTTTCCCGCCATAACTCCCCTCCTCCCAGTTCCCACCCCACCCTCCGCCCTCACTCCCCACCCACTGTCCTCATCCATAGGTGCATGATTTTTGTCCAGTCTCTTCCCGCATCTCCCACACCCCTTCCCCCCCAAGCATAGTCAGTCCATTCCCTTTCTATGTCCCTGATTCATTATAATCACCAGTTCATTCTGTACATCAGATTATTTATTCACTTGATTCTTAGATTCACTTGTTGATAGATGCATGTTTGTTGTTCACAATTTGTATCTTTACCTTTTTCTTCTTCCTCCTCTTAAAGGATACCTTTCAGCATTTCGTATAATACTGGTTTAGTGGTGATGAACTCCTTTAGCTTTTCCTTATCTGTGAAGCTCTTTATCTGACCTTCAATTCTGAATGATAGCTTTGCTGGATAAAGTAATCTTGGTTGTAGGTTCTTGCTATTCATCACTTTGAATATTTCTTGCCACTCCCTTCTGGCCTGCAAAGTTTCTGTTGAGAAATCAGCTGACAGTCGTATGGGTATTCCCTTGTAGGTAATTGAGTCTCTTTCTCTTGCTGCTTTTAAGATTCTCTCTTTGTCTTTTGCTCTTGGCATTTTAATTATGATGTGTCTTGGTGTGGTCCTCTTTGGATTCCTTTTGTTTGGGGTTCTCTGCGCTTCTTGGACCTGTAAGTCCATTTCTTTCACCAGGTGGGGGAAGTTTTCTGCCATTATTTCTTCAAATAGGTTTTCAATATCTTGCTGTCTCTCATCTTCTGGCACCCCTATAATTCTGATATTAGTGCGCTTGAAGCTGTCCCAGAGGCTCCTTACACTATCTTCATATTTTCGGATTCTTTTTTCATTTTGCTTTTCCGGTTGGGTGTTTTTTGCTTCTTCGCATTTCAAATCTTTGACTTGATTCTTGCGCTCCTCTGGTCTGCTATTGGGTGTAATATTCTTTATTTCAGAGCGTGTATGCTTAATTTCTAGTTTCTTTATCATAGCATCGAGGGTCTCATTAGTTTTCGTGAAGCTCTCCAAAAGTTTATTGCAAGCCCTCAAAATTGCGTTTTTTAGCTCTATATCCTCCATTTCTGTCATGTTTTTTTGTCTCCGCATTTTTTATGCTTTCTTGGTGCACCCCCTAGTGGTCTTTGTGCGCAGTCTTGTTCTAGTTGAGCCTTGATTGTTGTAGTTAATACTAGAGGGATTTGACCACCAGGCCGACTGGCTGTGTGAATCAGCTGTGTCTGCCGCGGAAAACTTCTGTCCTCTGGGGAGGTGCTAATCTACCTCCAGGCTAACTGGCTATGAGAATCAGCTGTGTCTGCAGTGGAAGAACTTCTGTGCTGGATCTCTAGGGCGGTGCTAATCTCGCATTTGCCTAAGGCTATCCGGCAAATGCCTCTGCCTGCACTTAGTTTTACCTCATTTCGGTGGGACCTGGGGAGCACAGGGAGCGCCAGTGGAGGGACTCAGATTCCGTTCTGATGCCCGTGCCATGCTGACGGTTCCGAAGCCAGGACCAGGCTGCGGAGGGACCGCTCGCCTGTGTCTTCTGGGTCTGCTGTCCTTACCCGGTGGCTGTGTTTGTTCCCGTCTGTCCCTGCTCAGGGCGTCCTCCCACGCCTATGCCCTCGGATGGCTGTCACTGTCGGCCCACTGTGGGTGCCAGGCTGTGGGTGCCAGGGCTATGGGTACCAGGGCTGTGGATGCCGGGCTGTGGGTGCCAGGGCTATGGGTGCCGGGCTGTGGGTGCCGGGGAGGAGGGGGGGAGGAGGAGGCAGGCATGACTCTGTGGAGTGGGCAGCACCACTTCTGAACCCACTTTTCCTTGAGTTCTTCATGTTTGCTTCTTAAAGGACTGACTGATAGGAGGCTCATCAGCACTCCCTCCCTGACGTAGTGTTTCCTCTGAGCTCGGCTTCCCCTTTGGCCCTTTACCCTTCGAGGCCTGGGTTCCTCCTGACAGAGAGGGGCCTGTGGCCCAGAGGGTGCCACCAGCTGCCAGGCACACTGCCCTCACCCCACAGCCCCGGGCAGCCAGGAGGTGGGTGCCCCCGTGCCTGCTGGCGACAGCGAGGGAAGCGCTGGTCCTGCGGGTCCCGAGGTTCATCTGGGTCTCCAGTTTGCCTCTGCATCACGCCCTGAGCGTGTGCCAGGGCAGCGAGCGGAGATGGTGTCTTTCTCTTCCAGACGGACCCAGGGGTCCAGGCGCTCTTCATGGGCATAGACGGCCTGTGCAGGAAGTACTCCAAGGAGACCTCCCAGGTGCGTGGGCCTTCTCCTGGGGCACGCGAGCCTGTCGCCATGGGAACCTGTTTCGTGACAACCCAGGGCCGATGATCTCGCCCTGGAGAGCAGACCCCAGGGTCTCGGGGGTAGGGGTGCTCCCTGCCCCTGTGCCATCTTCCCTGCAGGGAAGCCATTCGCTCTGCTCCGGGTTCCTGTCCTGCTGCTGTGGGGGTGACGTGTCCTGTGGTCGGGACGCCCGGCTGATCTCAGGTGTCTGGGTCATGGGGCTGTGGCTGTGGTATTTGACCTGAGCCCTCTTGGCTCCAGTCGCACTCCCAGCCCAGCTCTGAGGTTGCGAGTCGGTGCCCTCCCTGGGTCCGATGCCAGTCTGACCTCCTGGTCCACCAGGCTGTCCAGGGAGCTGTCCGGAGAGCAGCCCTCTCTGCCAGCCCATCCGGCCCCCGCTTCTGATAACAGTGCTGCCCCCACCCCTGCTGTTGGCACTTCCCACCTGCCCCTCCCTGGAGAGGCCTAGCAGCAGGCTGAGCGACCACACTCTGGCCTGGCCATTCTCGGCCGTTGGCTTGTTCTCTTGGAGACATGTCAGCCACCAGGACGGCCCTGCTCTGGAGGCTGTTCTTGGGCTCAGTGCCCGCGATGTCAGGGCTGTGCCCCTCCACCCTGCAGGCTTCCCGGGGGCCTGGATGCCCTAGGACACGGCATGGGCACAAGGCAACAGCCAAGCAGGGACATGGGCTGATTTCGTTGCGCATTCCCAGGGGTCCTCTTGAGCCGGTTCCCCGGGACCCGGAAGCTGCCGTGTTGGTGAGCTGGGGGAGTCCTCACCATAGCGCTCAGAGCCACAGGCGGCCCTGAGCCGAGAGCAGTTGTGCTGGGACCCGCAGAGCCTCGGGCGGCCTCAGGAGGAGGCAGGGTGCCTGTCCTCCATCTCAGGCCCCACGCCCCGCCCAGGTGGAGAGAGGCATGGAGGCAGCTGGCTGCCGAGTGGCCTCCCTCCAGGCCTCTGGGCATCGCCTGTCCCAGTGCCTAGCTCGCTGTCTACCTCAGCATGTTGGGCTTACCGTTATTTTACCATAATAAATACTTTAAGTTTCTCTCAGTATTAATTTCTAGTGGGGAAACAGCGACAGGGAAAACCTGCATAAGCAGAGCTTTTAGGGGTCCTCAGTAACTTTAAGGTGAGCCTGGGACCTGCCCTGCATCCATCAACCCACTCCACCCTCGAGGTGCAGGAGCCGGGGGGGCTTTCTCGTTCTGTCTGATACCGTCCCTGACGTGAAGCAGTGCTTCCCTCCCTGGGTCAGCGCGGCTCGTAGCTCTGGGGGCCAACTCCAGACCGCGTGCACTCCGCGTGCAAGGGGGCTCCTGACGGAAGTGCTGCTGGGAACCCAGCCCCCGTCACAGCTCCCGGGAGCGCGGCTTGTCCCGCCCACCTAGCCCTCTCCACGCAC